TACATCTTTGGATTAACAAAATGCACAATATACTGTCAAAAATGTTCCTGTTTTGTTCCTGTTTTTCGCTATGCATTTACTATGCTCATTCTTCAGATTAAAAGAATTATTTCAAGTGAAAAATGGTTTAACTAAGTTGTTACTTTTTTGTTTTGAAAATGCCGAAAATTTTGGTCGGTCGGACGACGCTAAACGGAGAAAAAAAAGAGGATGGCCTTACGAAGAAAAGAGATAGAATGGACAAAACTCTTCCACAAAGGCGTTTTACACTGTGGCTGTACACGCAATGAAACTTGACTCGTCCCAAGTCGTCAAACTACCAGTCGTAAAGGATGCCGGACTGCCTCGAAGCAATCGCAAAGGATTCTGGACCTGATGTAGCCTGGAAGTACTCCCATCCATGACCCGCTGCGCACGTGACATTTGTTTGAGTGACGTCTGGGAACTAGTCAACAGTAAAACAGTCGGAATCTGAGTGACTTGTCCTCGAGAGCTCGGAAAGTCATTGTGTTGACATACTAGTTTTCAATTTTGTTTTGCTTCGTACATTAGAAATAGCCCAAGTATTAGTATGTGATATTCTTGAAATATAAACAAACGGATCAATTAATAAATAAAAATGTGCATGTGAATACATATTTGTATATTATTTTGCAAGAACAATTCTAGCCATATTGAAAAAAATCATTCCTAAAACACTGTAAACAACAGCAACAACAGTTTATTCAACTGTCAAATAATTCAAGTCTATGTGAACCACAATTAGCAGAGCTATTCTAGGTGGGCAACAATACCATAGTAATTGCTTTATTTTTGGTTTGGATTGATACCATTTTTAATGAGGGATTTACTTAATATCACAAATGATAACATAAATGTGCCCCTCAAGTAATATATAGCATTATAAGATGTTGATGTGCCCTTGGTGGGTTCTGTACTTTCATAGCCGTTATAGCGGTTGTATGTAACCCATGCACTGATATGTGATCATGTGGTGTTCCCCCATCGGTCAACACATCTTCATGGTCTCCTTTTGGGGTTGCACTGTCCACTGATTAGCTTGGGTTGTCTCCTTTGGCTACTGGCATGCATGTATCAGTCTTAACCAGTGGGGAGGCAACACCTTAACAGTGTGTTACATAATGACATAGGACACCCCATCCAGTATTGTGACCATAATTTAGACTACAAACCCATACAACAATTTACACACATCTATGTAGTTTTGTTTGTAATATGACACAGAAATAGCGGCTGTTTACTTTTGGCTGCTTGGAAGGACTCACACCCTTCCCCATCATGGGAGTCTGGGTCTAGGGTGTACGGGAACTGAACGTTCCATGGCAAAGCATGTCGATCTCAATATAGACTGCGAGCAGTCTCTTCGTTTTCTTTGCATTACTGCACGCAAAACCTAAACACGCGAGCGGCGAAGCCGCCTGCCGCGAGAAACGAGGGCGTAAGCCCGATCGAGAAGAAAAAATAAGAGACTGCTGACTCTTTAGTTCTGTCTGGGGACAACGAAGTTGTCAAGGTACCTTAATTAATCAATTAAACCCGAATTACTTGAGACGATTTATAAATCGAACACAATCAACTGGTTCGCTATTGTTTGCAGTTGCTTGTGATGCGTGACCATTTTTATTGCTTGTAATCTCACCACAGACCAGTCAATGATCTCTCAACAGTTGTGCAATCGACCAATCGGTTACTCCGTTTCTGGTTTGACGGAGGGTTTGTTTACTACAAACAGTCCGTCTTTTCTCGTCTCGTCTCGATCCCTATATAATAACATCGTGGTTTGCAATCGCGCTGGATGAGATCAAGAACTAGACGGATTTTAAAAGAAAAGGCGGACTGCCAAGCAGTCTAATCCCAATACCTATCATTAGGCGTTTCCTGATTGTGCTCGGCAACTTTTGAACAACTTTTGGCGTTTGGAGCAACTTTTTGCGGTTCTAGCAAGCTCGAGCAAATTTTTACCTTTCTGAGCAACTTTTGAGCAAAATATAGGTTTGAATTTTCAATTTTTTAAAACTTGTTTTTAAAAATTTATTTGTTAAGTTTTTGTTTAATTTTTTCTTCTTGACCAATGTTAGTAATTATTGTAAAGGACGAAAAATAAACCTTTTAATCAACGTTTATATAAAAATATCAACAAATTTAGGTGGCAACTTTTGAAATCAAGGTAGCAACTTTTTTTGACTTTTGGCAATTTTTTTGCAATTTTTTGGCATTCCAGTGAGCAATTTTCCAGCATTTCACGAGCACAATTGGGAAAGGCCTACCTCTCATTGGTTCGGCTACAAAATGGCGTCAGCTACGCCAGCCGGTTCGAGTGAAAACTTACAGCTCTCTCAGAGAAATGGCGGGCCAGAATCAGCCACAATTACCAGGGACCTTCCCCTACAGTCAACAAAGGGAAAGTATAGTAGGAGAGGAACATGTGACATGAAGAAAGTTCCCTTACACGATCGTATTATCAGTTACGAGAATAAGCGACTTCTAATTAAAGAAAATCAGGACTTATTTGCCATGGTTTTGGAGAGCACAATTTAAAGAAAGGAGCATAATTCGGAAAAACGAGTATAAATTTAGCATAATTTGGCCAAAAAAAGCAGTGCTACCTGGCGTTTATTTACAAGCACAGTCTATAAAAGCCTATTTCGCTGCCAAAAAGAAAGAAGTGCAAGGAGAAACGGATGTTTTCGCAGGCTACCTAGCCTTTCACGCAGGCGTTTTTAGGGGAGCTCGTATTTCGTTCCTCCCAGAAAACGCCTGCGTAGGAGCCTACAGGCTACCAGGCAGGCGCCAACACAGGCCATGACTTCCAGATTTATTATGTTAACATTGATTTGCGTCATCAGTATGGAATTTCTGTTGATGAGTCGCAGACGTTCCTCCCCGCGAAACGTCCCCAGCGGCGAAGAGCGAGGAGAAACGGATGTTTTCGTAGGCGACCTGCCTGGCACTTAGGCTGATTTAGCAACAGAACGACAGAACGGAAACGTTAGTTGACGACGGCTTGCGCAGATCAAACAACTGGCTTGACCAACACCGCGGCAAAACGTCTACGCATGCGCCAGGTTGAGCATTTCCGGTCTCTTTTTCAGTTACACGTGCTTTCGGCCTCTGAGCAGCTTGTGGTTCAGTTGTTCTGCTTCACGCTGCTCATGTTTTTGACTATTTTGTAGTTATTAAAATTGCTTTTATGGATTACCAGGCACAGATCACTGAAAAAATTAGTCGTATAGATTCAGAAAAGGTAAGATGATAATAACTCAGTGTGTAATTTTGGCTAGAGCGTCAGGTAAACTGATTTTCATTCACAAAAACAAAGTTTTTGATTGTTATTTTTCACTTAACCTGGCTGAAACTGAGACATAAAAAGTTATCATTGCAAGCTTGTGTATTGTAGTTCTAATTTTCAGTTCTTCAGTTTCTCAGTCTTCATTTGTTAAAGCCGATTCGAGCTTCATTTGGAAAACGACAACACACAATCGCTTTGTAGTTTTATTTACCAGTGAGTTACCGTGTTTTAAAACGAAACTCTTCTGAGTTGATTGCCATGAAACATAAGCTTAATTATACTGTTGAGGTTGGCAGCAAGTTGACAACTCTATTATTTTTTTTCATTCTCAGAATCAGAGAGCGAAAGCTTGTTCGATGGCTCTTAGAAGTCGAAGTTTTCATGCCATGTATTTAGCAGCTGGAAGTTTCGTGTTTGCATGAGATGCAGGCGAGCCGCACAGTCTGAAATTATTGAAGTCTTCAACCAAAGAATAACCAACTAAAAGAATTAAATAGGCATTTTCTTGAATGAAATGTCATTTATAGGCATGTTTAGTTTCCCAACACAGAAAACGCCGGGTGTTCGTGACTGCAGTCATGAAAGTCGAAGTTGTTATTAAATCCCGCCCATTTCTTGTTTTGAGCTCTTGTTTTCTCCGATAATAAAAAAATTATTAAACGGACTAAAATTTTATTTCCTGGTTTTAGTGTTAATGATAATGACGACGTCTTTATTTTGGTTTCTTTCATAAGTATTGTTATTCTTTTCTTAGTTGTCGCCTTCTCCCAAAACTTCTGCCAAACCAGTAGCATGCAAGAAAGCCAGTAAAAACAAATTCGTCTTGTCGAGCGCTCGCGACCTGCAAACTTCAAACATCATTTTCGCCGTTGGTGCAAACAGATAACCATGTGGTGCAAAAGTTTGACGCTAGAAAAATATATAAGCTTTCGAATGAAGTGATTTTTTTTCGCCCCCTTTTTTGTCTGTTTCTCCCTTTTTACTTTTAAACTTGGTGCGACGGTAATGTTATGCTTACGAAATTGGTTTATATACTAGACCGGAAATAAAAAGCTGATCGGATGTTAAATTTTGTGCTCATGCGCAGTGCGTTTTGCCGCGGTGTTGGCTTGACCAATGGCGGAGCGGCAAATTGGGCACCGGAAGTCGTGTTTAGTCCTTTCCCCGCGCTTTCCCGTCGTCAACTGACGTTCCCGTCCTGTTGCTAAATAGAATGATTTAGCACCAGGACGTAACGACATGAGGACGCGGCTGTTTGGCCGTTATCAAGGACGGGAGTACTGGACCCGACGTCACCTGATACTCTAGACTTAGCGCCAAATACAAAGGCGGACGCGGATGCACCTTTGTAAACATGGCTGCAGCCTGTGGCCTTCAAAGTGTTCGAGAAGTTTTACTGGTTTGTTATTTCGAAGATACCATTGATGATGTGGAATTTACGGTTCTTTATGAAGAAAACTATTCAAGAGAAATATTTCCGTATTGAAAATACGACAAGTTTGACTTGGATGGTTGGGATGACGCTGAATGTAAAGTCGAGTTGAGATTTGACAAGTCTGACCTCGCTGTACTGCTCCGCACATTGAGATTTCCCGATAGATTTGTTTGCTCTCAGAGGACGGTCTGCTCTTGTCTGGAAGGTCTTTGCATTTTGTTAAAAAGACTTTCTTTTCCTTGTAGATACAGTGATATGGCGCTGAGGGTTGGAAGAAATCCAACGGAGCAATGTTTGATATTTAACCACGTAATAGACTTTGTTTACCGGACACACCAACATCGTTTAAACTCTTGGAACCAACCTTTTCTTAATCCACGAGCTCTAGAACACTATGCACAAAGTATCCATTCCCGTGGAGCTCCACTTGAAAATTGCTTTGGCTTCGTAGACGATAACTTGTGCAAGATAGCTCGACCCAAGAATAACCAACGTGAAGTTTACAGGGCAAATGATGGGACGCCTTTGTGTTTATATGGAGATCCAGCGTATCCCCTTGGCATCCACTTACAAGCCCCATTTAGAAATGTTCACATCACCCCACAGATGGCAAGATTCAATGAGAGTATGAGTGAAGTGAGAGTTGCTGTGGAGTGGATGTTTGGCTGTGTTTCAAATTACTACAAGTTCATTGACTTCCGCAAGCAACTCCAAACTGGCCCTAGTCCCGCTGGTAAATTATATCTAGTTTGTGGAATTCTTCAAAATGCCCACACATGCTTATATGGAAATATTGTTTCAGATTATTTTGGTGTTGACCCCCCAAATCTTGTAACCTACTTCTGGTAAGATATATACAGGTGTTGTAGAAGATTGACAATTATTAATATTTTTGATTAATGTTGTTAAAAGATCATCTCCAATATAGACATCTGTGTTGGCATGACTGTACAGGAGACACTGAGACTTTACTAATGGTCCTTTCAAGTGTTTGGAACAATATAATCATTATTGTCCACGTTGGATTTTTTGGTTTTGCAACCACGTGACAAAGCGGCCATGTGGGGGTCAAAACAATAGAATTTTTCTCAAAGAATTTACTTGAAAATAGAGTTTAGTTCCCAGAAAAGAGAAATGCTTTTGTACTTGACCACCAACATGGCCGCTGTGACGTCACATATAAAAAACCAGCTACATGTTTGAAATGGAGTTAACATTGCATAGCAGCATGCAACAAAGTTCTTAAGAAATGTGGAATTATTTAAATGCATAAAAACACGTCATTTTGTATCATGTCCAGTAAAGCTCCCTAATAACAACCATTCTATAGGGCTCAGCAAAAAAAAAAACTCATGCTGGAACCAAAATTTTGATCTCCAGCTAGGGCTGTCTATGTTTCAAGGGCAGCGAAAAGAAATGCATCAGTTGACTTTTAATTAGCAGCGGTTAGGCCTGTTTACATGGGTCAGCACATAACAAAACATGTGAACTGATAGGTAGTACTGATAGGTAGTCCAAGCTCACTATATTGGAGTTTACTTTGCAAGATGTACATGTCTTAAACAAAAAATAAAAAAGATATATATATATATATATATATATATATATCTTAATCACAAATGAAGACAGAAAACAGTTTCCTTTCAATCTTTGAAAGGAAACTGTTTTCTGTCTTCATTTGTGATTAAGATATATTTGTGTTTATGAGGACGGGAGAGAGAGAGATGCTTGGGAAAACTTTATATATATATATATATATATATTTATATATATTAGCAACTTAGAACATTTAGAGACAAAACCTTTAATGGTATTGATGTATTTATTAAGCGTTGAAAATATACAAATAGTACCCATTATCCAAATATCCAAACTTTTATTCAATCATAACATCATAAACGATGGTGAGAATAAATGGCAAAAAAAGTATTTAAAACTACTGTAAATCATCTAAGTATTCATTTCAAGCATATTTGAGGGAATTGGGGCTAATTGAGAGTGAAGACTTATTCCAGAGGGAGGCTTATTTGATTTAGCAAAACTGAGCTCTATACTGCTTTTTCAAATAACCAGAAGATGGAATTCTTCTTAACGAACTAGAATACAAAGTCGAAACATATAACGTTGAAGGTCATACAGCTGCAGATAAAAAAAATTCATACTTCAAGTATGTAAATAAACTTCAGTCCACATGAAGTGTCACAGCCCTGAAAAGAAGGGGGGTTATTAATTTTGTGAGGGGAAGGGGGCTTAATAAAAGATTTATAGTATTTAAAAAGAGGCAAATCAAAGTACCACTCTTTTAAGAGGGTTATACTCACGCCAGCTTAAGTCCCAAACCATAAATGATGTCATTGTGCTTAAATAGTATAATGATAATGCTTATAATGCTAATGTATATGTTTTTTTCTGTCAGAAACTTATACAGATAAACCCTGGTGATGACAGTAATAACCATAAAAGTGCAAACATCATTTTCAAACATTTTCAAACTTTTATCACTATAAATATAATGCATATCGTAGTTTACTCTTTATCCTTTTTTGAGCTGAAAAACTGTAGCTGTTGCTGCTGCTGTTGCATCATACTCATCATCTGCTGCATTAGCAACATTTGCTGTTGCTGATGTTGCTGCTGGCTTTCTGCTTGAATTTGCATTTGTTTCTGTAGAAGCTCCATTTGTTTTGTCCTTTCTTTTTGCTGGAACTCTCTTTCTTTTCTTTGTTTTTCAAGTTTGAGCTCCTGAAACTTCAAATCTCGGTCAGCTTTTTTTTACAGCCATTGTAGGGTGTCCCCTCCAGATCTTCGGTTTTTTCTTTCCTTTATCCCGTCCTCGGACTCATCAGACTCTGATCTTTTCGGGGTCTAACCCATTGTTTCCATAGCTCTCTTTCTTACTTCGAGAGCCAATTCCTTTTCTGCACTGACTTTTCTTTTAGCGGTTTCGGCCTCTGTGTCAGCTCTTTTGACAGATTCTTCACTCAGATGAGTTAACTCTTCAAGAAGTAAATCGTATTCTCTTGGATCGTCTTCACTCCCTCCACCGGTGCTTTTCAATTCTTCGGCAGTTTTGGCCTTATACCTTCTTGAAATCAAGGTAAATCTGTCTCTACAACCTCTCGAGCTGACATAACTAAAGAGCTCTTTATTGCCATTGAGATTGCTCAACAGTATGTCTTTTCCTTCCGTCAAGCTCATCACAATTCTGACAAAAGATAACGAAATAACATTTCAAAGGGCTGAAACATCTTACTTAAAACACAGATGAATTATAATACTCACTTTTTCGGTGCATTTGCCATTGTTGAACTCGCCGGTCTCGACAAGACGCAAAAATACTCAATTCCATGTTCGCAACGCGACGCCACTTTCTCAGGACGCGGGAATTTAACTTGATACCAAGCCCTTTGACCGAGCGCGCCGTCCTCAATGAAGGCCGCGTCCTGGTGCTAAATCAGTCTAATTTTTTCAAGATGGGGGCGATCAGATGCAAGGTACTCTGTCTGAGTAAAAATAGTCTTTTAAACCCGAATTTAGTCATCAATTTAGGGAATATCGCCTCCTAAGCTTCAAAATAAACGGCCACTTATTTGTATTCCGTTGCGTAACAAAAGTGCGTATTGTGTTACGCCTCGTCTTCTTTAAAGTGTTGCGGCAAATGGACGTGTATTCTGAAGCAGCTCCCATGTGACGTGAACAGACCAACCGCTTCCGCTTGATTTACTTTTTTTTCATTATTTTAGCCAATTTAAGCTTCCGATCAGTCTTGCGATCATAAGGAGGTCGTGTTTTGTCAGCCCCGGCAAAGAAACTCGAATATATCAATTTGATTGTTTTTTCTTTGTTCTTCTTTTTTTTTGGGGGGGGGGGGGGAAAATATTTAAGTAATTTTGTAAAATATAAGGTTAAAAATGTACATGTAAATTTAGCTTAATATAATTTAAATACAGATTTCTTCTGATTTTTTTGTTTTTCTTTTTTTTTTTTTTTTTGTGCAATTTGAGTTTTCGGGCTGTTTTGTCATCATATGGAGTGCTTGTTTTGTTGGCCCCGGACAAAAAACTCGAATATATGTATTTGCTTTTTTTTTTTTTGTTCTTTTTTTTTTTTGTGGGGGGGGGGGTAAAATAGTCAAGTAATTTAGTAAAATATAAGCTTATAAATGTACATGTAAGCTTAGCTTAATCTAAGTTAAATACGTTTTAAATCTTTCTTATCATTGCTTGTAGTCGTGATATGTACCTAAAAAATTCTTATGGTTAATTTTGAGCTGAATAAAACGATGATATCAATATTTTCTAGGTTACATATATTCTGTTGGACGTCGTGTTGACTCTTATATCTAAAACCCAGCTTAGCTCTTGTGTACCTAGACCCTCAAAGTCAATAACTGCTACACTAGATGCAAGATGGGCATCAACACCTTTACTTCTAGAGGCCAGGTTTGTTAAAAAAGATACACCTGTAGAATTACTATTTTTCTAGCCCTTTGTTTTAAACATTTTTATAATTATTAAAAATTACTGAATGAGGCTGAGTATCATCTGAAGACTTATGGGGATCTTAGGTGGATGTTACGGCCTAAGCGGATAACAAGCCAAATTCAAAAATTGTTTTATTATTCATTCAAAATAATTCCTAGTTTAAAAACAAGTTAAAGCATACTTATCTCCTTCGATGCTAAGTTTGTCTTCGATAGTGCATGTTTATTAGCCAGTTTAGGAGCTAAAGGGTTGTTCGCAGTTTTGTAAGTATTCTCCAAGGAGCAGATGTTGTCTGTCGTGTTGTCTTGCTATGTTTTTCGCCAATAGTTTTCCTATTTCTCCCTTATGAAACGAGTGACATATTCCACCATTTTGTACTCTCTACCGAAACGGCTTCCCCCAGGTTTTCTCGGTTAACTGCCCCAAAATCTGGCTGCACACTTCACGACATTTCACATATCGCAAAATTATTTCAAATTTGGTCGACAATAGCTGGTTAGCAATGATGCGGAAAAAAAATTAACAACAAGCGAACTGTTGTAACTAAGCTGTTTTCACTCTAAACAGCGCATAACCGTAATGCGTAAGGTGAGTGATAAACCCTAGTCAGTAAAATGAGCCCTTGATCCTAATCGTGAAAGTTGACCAAGACTGCGTAATTGTGCAAATATTTTAGCAGCAAAACCTGGCATACCCATAGGGAACTATGAAGCAGGAAACATTTTTCATGTATTTGCAATTGTATAAAATGTTACTTTTTTCCCATGGCTCACTCAACTCCAATGCTTGCTGGCTCGCAGATTTTCTGGTGCTAGGAAAAATAGAAATGATGCCTTCAAGGACACTATTATTTCACCCATTTTTACTCCCAGATTCTGAGTGTAACAAACATGATTGGTTTGAGTTAATTATGTGTCAATCACGTACATTCTGCCTCAAATCGGAATAGCAGAATAGGCCACTTGCACTAGGAGGTCAAGTGACCAACGCTTCCTTTAAACAATAAGTTGGAATCTTTCTGATGTCAAAAATTGACAGAGCACATAAAAATTATCTTACACGCGAAATTTGAGAGGAAACGCATTTAAGGGAGATATTTTTGGCACTTTGATTTTTCAACAAAAGAAGTATGATTTGTGTGCATGGCGGCCAAAACAACTTTTTGCTTATATCTTGTTAAACATTTGATAGTTATGCTCAGATGTGCTGTAAACGTTGTCACAGAAAATTTTAGCTGGATTTTGAAATCTCAGAATCGTATTTTTGGGTCTTGAAATCTTGTTTTGGGGTAATATTGTGTCTGGGAGTCTCAAATACTTTTTGAGTGTCTGTCTCAAATTTTGAAACCGGGGTCTCTCATTCACA